AAGATGCGCGCCAGGCCAAAAGCCAATCCGGCCCACCACAAGCCCAACAAGGGGCACCAGAGAAAAGGCCAAACCGGCCGACAGCAAAGGCCCAAGATGCGCGCCAGGTCAAAAGCCAATCCAGCCTACCACAAACCCAACAAGGGGCGCCAAAGAAAAGGCCAAACCGGCCAACAGCAAAGGCCCAAGATGCGCGCCAGGCCAAAAGCCAATCCAGCCCACCACAAGCCCAACAAGGGGCACTAGAGAAAAAGCCAAACCGGTCAACAGCACAGGACCAAGATGTGGTCAAGATCAGAGGCCAATCCGGCCTACCACAAGCCCAACAAGGGGCGCCAAAGAAAAGGCCAAACCGGTTAACAGCACAGGACCAAGATGTGGTCAAGATCAGGGACAAAGTCCAAAATCAAATCAAAATATCTAGTCAAAAAAAAAAGAAAAACAAGGGAAAAAATTCAAAAAAAATTGTACTCATAATTATCTTTATTAAGTCAAAATTTATATATACTAGCACAATATCCAAAATAGTCAAGTCAAGATCCATTTCTATGTCCATGTCCAAGTCCATGTCCAAGTCCAATTCCTTTCCAAATGGCCAAACAATGTCCACGTACTGCTAGAGTACTAGTCCTAGAACATACATACATACAAGCATAATTTCTATCAAGTTCAAAATCTGGGTTATACTTCCAAATCTCAAGGCCAAGCCAATTTCCAAGCAGGGGTCCAATGCAAGTTCCAAACAAAAATTATTTCTTCCAATGGCAAATTCAAATCTCAGGCATCATCCTAAGTCCTGTTGGCTGTGGCACGCACACTACAATAGAGTGAAGAACAGACTCCACTACCAACCACTGGTTCCATCTTGCCTATGAACCTGGCACGTTAGCCATCTCCGGAACTATTACATACCAGGCACACGTGCACTACACATTTATACCGTGGAAACCAACCATTATACAACAGGGATCTGAATTCCAAGGGGTTTGAATGGTAACAGATATGAACAATATTACCTTGTCTCTCTAATAAGTAACACTCTCAAAGTATCTACTCTTCAAAATATTGAGATACTTTGAGAGTGTTATTTATTAGAGAGACAAGGTAATATTGTTTATATTTGACTATTCAAATCTTTTTTAATTCTTATCCTTGTTGTATGATGGTTAGTACATTGTATAAGTGGGTATTGTACGTGTGCCTGGTATGTAATAGTTCCGGAGATGGTTAATTTGCCAGATTTATTCGCAAGAAGGAATCAGTGTTTGGTAGTGGAGTCTGTTCTTCACTCTATTGTGGTGCTTACCTCACATTTACAATTCAAATCAAATCAACTCAAATCAAATCAAATCAACTCAAATCAAATCAAATCAAATCAAATCAAATCAAATCAAATCAAATCAAATCAAATCAAATCAAATCAAATCAAATCAAATCAAATCAAATCAAATCAAATCAAATCAAATCAAATCAAATCAAATCAAAACTGAAGGAACACTGCATTGGAACCTGGCTCTGGATCGAGGCGACGCTCTGGATTGGACCAAGACTCTCTATTACAATAAGCTGCAAAATCCTCTTTACATATATACTTGCAAAGCGAATGAAATATTTCTCAAAAAAAAACCGGACTGGACTGGGCTGGACTGGACTATCATGGACTTGACTATCTTATATTCTATTTAATTTAATTTAATTTGTATTTAATTTGTAAAAATCTTTGTACACAAAAATCATTTACTTTGAACAATAAAATTTTCCCTTGTTTTTCTTTGATATTATATTTATATTCTTGTCTCTTTTTTTTAAAAAATATAAAAACCTATTAGTCTTTAAAAATATTATTAAAAAATAATATGGTTGACTGTCTTTACCTTTGTCTCTTTCCTTGCTTTTGTTAAAATATATCTATAACGGAGTATAGGGATAAATGTAACTGTTTTTGGTCTGGAGTAATTTAGACATCTTGCTGATCTTGAAGGTTCTATTGATTAAAAACTGTTAATCTAAAGACTTTAGCTCTTGAGAATGAAAATTGAATTGGAAACGTAATATTATATTGGCTTACATACCATATATCAGAAGAGTCGCTGTAAATATATAGCAATTTGTTCACTAGGATTCCCAAAGTCATTGCTATGATTGTAGAAGTGTTACATTATATAAAAGTCAGGCACAAATTTACCATTTATTTCATTTTCCAATAGCCAATAGCCAATAATTTTTCCATAGCTTTTTTCTTGTTAGAATATAATGCCATTAACTATAATTCATAAAAGTGACATGAATTATTACTATTTTTTCTTTAATAATATAGAGTTCTAAATTCATAAGTGAAAAAATCAAATCAATTTCTTAAAGTAGTTTACAGGTTAAGTTCGAAAAAGTTCATTATTAATAAAAAAAATTTAAAGTCAAAGCCAAAATTGGCTCCCAAAATTTGGATGAGACCGTCAAACCAACTGGGAGGGAGCAATTGTTGTAATCATCTTTTTATTTAAATTAGCAAAAAAAGTAAAGTAATAATTTTTTTTCTAAAATTTTTCTGTTTCCTTGATCATCTTTTTCGCTGGGCATTACCACTCATTGCTTTTCGGTATCCTCTTATTACTTTAATCACTTTTGCACCTTGTCTCATTCTGAAGATTCAAATTCTAAAGATCAGACTACTCAAGAGCCTGCTGACCAAACGGTTTTTCTGGTGTTTCTCACCAATCCAATCTATGACATGAAATTACAATTCCTTAATTTGTCCAACCCTGACTTCTCAGTAGACTCAAATAGGATTCACTCGTTTACTATACGGGAAACTTCTGGTTGGATGCCTTCTGAGCTACAGGTGAAGACTACCGCTCTCACCCCTGGAAATTTTACCTTCCAAATGGACGTAGAAGATTGTAAGAAGATCATTGAACAGTATACCCCAATGCAATACCATGTCCATACACTACTAGCAGCTCTACCTCTGGATTAATCGCTCTATAAGCCACATCAGGCAAGAGAGGATACCTCGCTGAAAAAAAAACAGTATCCGTTTTCAGCAGTGTTAAGTCACCTGGATATCTTAGCACACGAACTACTTTCAATGGCACCTAAACTAGATACTCTCTGATAATTAGCAATGATCAAAGATATCCGCTCATTATTGGTGGATGGAATGGCTAACGTGAACAACTCGCGCAAGAATCTAGCCTTCCAATCAGTTAATCCAACGTTCCAGTCCGCTGATTTAGATAGCTCCAAGCACTTCATCATGGAATTAAAGTATTTCTAACAATCACTTACAGACTAAACGGCCACACAGGTGTCCGTATGCAAGGCCATGTCCAAGCCATTTGAGATTTCTACTCGGAAACCTTTGGAGTCATTGCTTTTTATCAGGCCCGTCTCAATAAGCAGGTGGACGCCCCTTCTACAGCAACGGAAAGACTCTTCAACCGGGTCAGCGCAACAGACAAAACCAACAGCACAATCACAGGAACACCAACCGCAGAAGCAACAGCGGGCACGATAGTAACACCAGCAACATCAACTAACACAACAACTAGCCAATTGCTCCCTGGTTGGAGGGGGCCTCAGAAAATTTGCGCGTGCATGGGAGCGTCTTAACAGCAGCGATTGGTTGAATGGCGTAGTAAAGGAGGGTTTTCGAATACACTTCTGCAAACAGCCTCCTCTTGCACGCCACAGCATACCAATAATCCCGCACTCAGACAAGCAACACCGCCTACTTTGACAAGCGATTGAAGGACTTCTACACAAGTGAGCAATCGAGGAAGCCACTCAGAACTCATTGGGCCACACCAGCCCAACATTTGTAATCCCAAAGCACAATAGATAACACAGGCCGGTATTCAACCTGACGAAGCTGAACGAGAAAATATCAGCACCACACTTCAAGATGGAAATACTTCAAGAAATCTGTCGCCTGATTCGACCACAAGGTTACTTGACTTCTTTCGACTTGTCAGACGCCTTCCTCCACCTGCTCGTACATAAAACATCCCGCAAATATTTTCGGTTCAAATGGGAAGGCTCCACGTACCAGTTCCGAACGGCACCATTTGTCCTCTCAGTGGTGCCGTGGCTCTTTACCAAGGTAAGTCGACCAGTGTTGGAATGGGCGCACAAACAAGGAATACTGGTTAGTGCCTACTTGGACGATTGGATTGTGGTCGGTGACTCATTCCCAGCCTCACAGAAGCACACCAACATTCTCTGGGAGAAGCTCAAATCATTGGGGTGGCTGATCAATTACAAGAAATCCTCCCTGATACCGTCCCAAGAGTTGGAATATCTAGGCTATGTATTGGATACTAAAGCAATGGTTACCAAGATACTAAGATCTAAACTGGGAGATCTACACAGATCCATTCGTCAAATGATCCAGCATACAACTCCCACTCCCAAATTGGTTCACAGCTTGACCATCCAAATACAAGTGATCACTATCGCTTTGCCTCCAGCAAAGTTATACACACAGCACTTTATGTGGTAAAAGAACCACTTCGTCAAGCAGAACAAGTTTTGGGACGACCCACAGCCATTAGCTACAACATGCCTACGTGAACTTCATTGGTGGGAACACAACATG